TATATAAGTTAAGCGATTAGATTTTAATAAGCATCTGGACGTAATGAGTATATAAACGTAACGCGAGCACTGTGACTTTGCAAATTGTCCGAAATTGGCCCGTGCATGTATATCGGGGGAGCGATAAGCGAACAACGAGGTTGAGAAGTCCCCAGGGAATTGCCGTTCGGGGTCCGAACAGGATAACACAGAAAAGAAGCGGCGAAGTCAGTCCAGCAATTACCAAGCAGGTCGGAAGTTCGCCCCAGTTTTCCCCGCATTTTCCAACAAGAGGAGCAACGAGGCAAGTTCCGGTGGACTAGCAGATAACTACGTAGATAACGCTTCACGGTCCGAAGGGATGGTGGTGAAGCGCAGCCGGTAGTCATCTTTAAACCAGATAAATGCGTCACGCAAGCTAGAAGATGAAAACAGAAACTTTCTCGCGTCTCCGAACTTAATTACGGAGATGTACCAAATCAATTAACAAGCTGGTTACTCCGTTCCCGTCACACACACGTGTGCCACACGTTTTCTCAACAATTAGTTTATCGAGATTTCTTAAAGTTGTATTGTAGATTTTTTGATGTGTGTTTTATACACGCAAAGAAAATAATTTGTCGAAGTGTTAAAAATTTAGCTACATACAGATCTGAAAATAATATTGTTGGATTATCAAAGTTATTATATATGTATCATAACGTCAAATTACATCCAACTTGAGTTATTTTTAATCATTTCTACAGGTCGCCACTTAATATGTCATTAATTTAACTAAAGTAATGGAGTTTTAAACAATTCCAGAAAATATATTAAATTTGACTCGAACTTAATTTATTATTTACTATATGTATTATTAATATATATGAGCGTTTTTTTACTTTTGAAATTAACCACAGACAATTTACATTTCGACATGCATGCAAGTAAAAAATAAAAGAAATTAGGTTCCTTCCCAAGCATAATGAGCGATACTGCAAAAAGTTTCCATTGATATTCTAACAATCAACTTGACCAACAGCGTTCTACATAATTCTTTGACGCTCTAATGAAATTATATTTTCAAATCTGTTGTAGCAAAATTTTTAGATACTTTGGCAATACCGTTCTATCTGCATATATTTATTGGTAATTAACATATTAATAAATTTTGTTAAGTCTTTCGGTAAACGTGACCTTCATTGTCGCGCGGATGAACAGTTTTTGTCATCTAAGCTCATATCGACCAGTGCGGTATGGTGGCCAATGGAACGACGACGTCGCCAGCATTCTTCGCAAGCTAGTAGGTGGAAGTAAAAGAAGTTTCTGTGAGGTCTACGGTTTTATCGAGTAACTGAACTTAGCGATCCATCCGGAATCGACGCTGCTACGGAAGTTTATGTCTTCGACGACGGTACCATTAAAACTGCTGGTCGGAGCGATCGATCACTCGGATCTACTCGTGGAGATGATCGAACGGCTAAAGGAAGAGATAACGTCGCTTCTCGTAGAAAAACGGATTTCCAACGAAGACATCTTCTTTTATATCTGTTCACCACGCAGGGATGAATTCCCGTCGGATCACTCTTTCTTTTTCTGCCTCTTTCAATGCGGGGATAATCCAATTAAAAATATTATAGTTAATTGTTAAAGGAACGCTGAGAAAGATGAATGTTTCTCTCAATTGATCTTGTCGATTTTCTCGACTATTTTTAAAGATACCGGGAAGATTTGCCCTCGCATTAAGATCCGCATGTCGATTTTCTTTTTTTATTGCAAGCTGACGAGTTTTAAATCTACCACGACGGCTAATCTCGTAAATTAATAATAGCTCCGGAACGCGCGCGATAATTATATCTCCGCGGAAATTTTGCCGATAATCTCGGACCCGGGCAAATCGCTTCCCGGCAATTTTCTTCTCGATACAGTTACCGCAACGATTTCCGCTAAATTACGTTGTGAACGCAATTGCCATCGCGCGAGTTAGCGTAACATATTTCAATTAGATAAATATCTTCATTCATGTATTACGTGAGCCAAAAGAAAATATATAAAGATTATAACGTAAAGCTGGTTGTTTGTAAATATTTGTGTAAAATATCGTTGAGGTCTTATTTTAACGCGAGATTTCTTTTGTGTATTTGGGATTAAACTTGTTAATCTCATAAAAAGTGTACTCGACGAGAGAGTATTCGACGCTGAAAGTTGTATCGATAGAAAAGTCGTCTTACTACTTCGTTTTAAGAAGAACGGAGATTTAAATGGGAAATAACGGAGCCGTAATCAGGAATATAAACATTGATTGCTCGCGAATTCAGCGAAAAATGTCGTTTTCGAGAATTCTGTTTAACGAATGCAAATCGGGCAAATCTTCTAGTTTTATGATCAGATAGCATATAAATACTTTTACAAACATTTGCAAATACACTTACGAGTGTGTCGAATATTCGAAAAACATCTCGTTCAATCTCTCAAATCGATGTTCAACATGCAATTAGAGCCAATTAAAATAAAATTTTGCAATAATGAAATAATTTCGAATAATAAATAACAGTAAAATTAATGAGAGTCAGCGCGGAAGTGGGTGAGCGCGAATATTAATTCATATAAATTAGTCCATTATAGTACATGATGTCAACTTTATTACAAATTGTTGTTGAACGTTTCAACTTTCTGAGAATACTTGTAACTTTGCTGAAGAGGACTCCAAGGAGAGTCGAAACGTTCAACAAGAATTTGCGTTGTGTAATAAAATCACCCACTTCCGCTCTCATTGGCCTTAATTTTACTATTTTATTGTTTATTATTTTAAAGAATTGAAAGTCCGATTTTAATTATTTAGAAATAATTTTTATTTGATTTAATTTACAAATAAAAAATTTCAGATATAGCAATTTATTCAATTTGTTGAAATCCTTTAAAACGTCGCTCTAGAAAATAATCCTTTTAATCCTGCAAACTCAGAAATCCTTCTCTTTTTACGAAAAAAAAAGACAGTACAACGTTCTGACGGTTTATTTTCGCAGAAACGAGGATTCTCTTTGTTCGCGTTGCTGGTTTAGCGTCCTAGCGGCTACGCGGGGCTGGCGAAGAGCGTTGTTTTATCTACCGTTGTCCTGCATCTTAGCGTGGCGACCCAATAAACTTTGGCTATCCTACGTTGCGGGTAAGTACGACAGAGTTTATTTCCGTGAACCTCTGACAGATAGAATGTGTTTGCAGCCGGCCTGTTGGCGGTACTGTCCTTACTGCATATTGCATCGAGCGCGCTAGAACGACGAGATCCTTGCCAATCGAACATTGGTACCGACTCGGTAGGTGAGAGCCTCTTGAACTCCAGACAGGAGAATTACGATCGTTTCGAGGAAGTTCTGGTGAGTGTTCCCAAGATCGGCAATCGAAAAATCCCGTAAGAAGCTAGCGAATTAATTTTCTCTTGGTTCTCTTTTTCACGAAATATTGATCTAGTACACACACACACACACACACACACACACACACACGTACACGTATATATATACTTTTTTCGATTATCCCTATCCATCATTGTCTGTTTTATGAGGTGACGGAGGTTCTCGATGACGGCGTGTCAGGACCAGGACGCTGTCCCGGGGACAGCGACGGCGAGATATGACACGAACGACGGTCCTCTTGGGCTAGTGAATCCGATGAGGATAGCGAGCTTGAACAGAGGACGTGTCAAATCGCCACACTGTCTTAGTCCTTGATGGATTTCGACTTGATATCGTCATGTATCAAGAGAGGTCAATTGAGCACCCGATTCAGCTTGCGGCAAGAACGAACGCGAGAAGTGCGCGAGGTCGAAATAATGCCTTCTAAAATTGTAATTGAGGGAGGAGATTTCAAAGAAATCATCATGGAAGATTCAGACAAGATGAGAGAGAGAGAGAGAGAGAGAGAGAGAGTTTTAATTTATTGATTTACAAATCTGCGAAAGAAAAAAATACGATACGAGGTATCGCATCGCTTTGCGTGAAAGAATGAATGTGAAGGAGTGAATATTTTTCTTAGATAGACACTTGTTAGTTACATATAATTTTCTATACGTTATATTTTTTAGGAAACAATAGATATTATATAATTGTATGACGTACAAAAAACAGCCGTATTTCATTATAAAATCATTCGATATACTATATTAAACTGTCAATATTCATATATATAATTGCTAATAAATACTTTTTAAAAGTGTTCTACGTAGAATTTATTTCAATAGAAAAGTCACGATGAGAAATAAAATTTTATTTTTTACCTAAAAACAGGATTTTTACAAATTTTATTATATGTATGTAATACTACCACAAGAAATTACGATAAAAAGGATTTGCAAGAAAAACAAGTCAAGTATGCTTAACTGGTTATAGTTATGACATTTTTTAAATCCTATACTCTTCTAATAATATAGAACAGATTTTGATCGGTATTTATTGTCGATTTTTATATAAAAAAAATTCTTATATGTATGAGATCGTTTTACAAATTAATCTTAAAATGTCATAAATTAGTTTACCACATCACTGAACTGTATTAGCATCTTAAAATACTTAAGATGGTCTTAAAATACGAAAAATACCAACTATGAATACCGATTTTTATATCTTATTGCTTTTTACATATTTTTAATTTCGTAACACACGATAATGAAAAGATGAAAAACTATGCAAACTTTTGACAAAAGAGTTAGAGTGTAAAGAGAAAATTAATTACAAATAATTTATAAATTGTATCTTAACAAGAAATGGATATTTCAGGTTTAAACCAGATTTACCTAATTATTTTGTTATGATATATTTTAACACATAGAAACTCTAAATGCGATTTCAGCGTCGATCAATTTTTCAAATTATTTATTTCAATAATAAAGCCAAAGATTAATCATAGAAAAGATATAATATTATATATATGTATAATATTATAATCTTATATATAACAAAAAAATATATAAACAATCTGAAATTTAAAATATTTACTTTTTTTTAAATAATACTTTTTAAATAATACTTTTTTTAAATAATACTTTAAATAATACTTTTTTTTATAATACTTCAGTAGTACTGCTGTCAATCTATTTTCAATCTATTTAATTTATTATAATGACAAGCTATATATTGTCATTAAAATACGAATAATAAAAAGACGATCGATAAAAGAGAAATTTGCAACATATAATGGTAGTAAAATAAACCAGATTTGAATGATAATAGCTTAATGATAAAAAATAAAAACAAAAAATATTATTTGTATGCAAAATTTTTATATACATAAATGTGCATATGAATGAAAATTTATTTTTTAGGAAGAATATCGATTGCTCGTTTAAAGACTAAAATGTCACGGTTATTTATAAATATGTAAATATTATCATAGTGTCATAATGTGTAGATATTATATAATGTCTAAGAGTAAAATTTAGTAAGTATGTATATTTATAGAGTCGATGTATGTATTAACGTAAGATTTTAGCAAAAATATCAACTGACTAGAAATATCTGCTGTTCCTAATAAATATATTTATTTACTAAACAATGTACTGCACTTGCTACAACATATTAATAAAAACATGTTTATCAAAACATATTTGAAAAACATATTTGCGATTTATCAATCGTCTCATCAATAAAAATATCATTTTAATAATGTAAAATGTATAGTAATTATTTTCATTCTAGTATATCCTGTTCTCTTTCAAAAAACTATTTGAATTATTATAATGGAATTTTCTATAAAGAAATTTATTTTTTATCATAGTTCATGTGTCCTCATTTTTATAGATAAATACATGTCATAAATACACGCGTCTGTGTGAAATGTAAAATTTTTTGCTTAGAAAAAATGCTAAATGGAATTTTCCACTTATCTGCAAAATTTTTTTTTGTACATGTTTATTGCTATAGCATTTTACAAATAATTTTTTTCAGCAAAGTTTTATATATAATTATTATGAAACTATGCTCATATATAATTATATGAAGCTTTATTTATCTTCATTTATATACAGCTATTAATTTTTTTTACATTTTGTTATTTATAGCTATTAATAAGAGATTATTTTATACAACGGTATGGATAAATTATGCAACGTCTGACGTTTTATTAATAACAAAATACATATTTCTGAATTTTTTATCATTTTGATTAAAGAATTTTTAAGCACGTATTTTCAACATGCTTAAGTCGTCCATAAGCTGTTCAAAGAGCGGATTGCCACCTAAACGATCAATTTCGGTTCTTAACTTTTTTTCCAATTTATCAAGTACATCTTTTGCGTACTTAAATGAGCCATAATTCTCTAATATTTTAATGCAGTAACGTTTTACTTCAATATTTTTCGATCGTTGTCTTAAAATATCTTGAATTATTGTTAAGAATTTTATATAAAAATTTTGTTCAATATAAACATTTTCAAAATAGAGATATGTTTACCATTTAATTTTCTTATTGTCTACTTAATACAAAATATATTAGTAGCTACTTATTTTATATTAAATATAATGTTTGATAAAGGATACTTATTATTTTCTTATCGTCAGGATTGTTTCTAAGCGCATGAATAATTAGAAAACTCATTTTTCCTTCGGTCAAATCATCGCAATAACTGTTCTCGTTAGTCTGTAATAACAATAAATTTTGTTAAATTTGGTTCAAGTAATTAAATTAAATTATTTGTTATATACCTTATTGTGACGTAAATTGTAATAATCATCATATATCTGGCGATACAATCCCATAGTATCTACTAGCGACAAGAGGTCTTTTTCATAAGTAGAAAATAGTTTCAGTAATTTTACCATTATCTTCATTAACCAACTACTTTCTATAAAATTAATTAATATTCAAATTATACATATATATGCTTTGTATATAGCAGAAGCTTACAAAAGCAAAAATATTTACTTCTTGATGCTAAAATATTGTAATCTTTTTCTGTTGGACAGATGAAATTTTCCTTCCAATATAAATCCATTCCTTGACCTTTGTAGTATTCCATCGATTGTTCAATAAAAATTTTAATTGCCTGTTAAGATGTAAAAATATATAATTAAAATAAAACATATATATTGTAATAAAAATATATAATCAAAATTACAAGCGTTATCGGTTGGCACGGTAAAAAGTGTAATTTTACGATGAGAATTATATTTTAATAATTTATTTTATGATTTATACGGAAAAAGTCGTACAACATTAAAATAAACTGAACGTTTAGGATTAAATTTTAATCATCTTCAACAGATAAGAAACGAGTAAAGACTGGAATTGACTCAATAAATCTGCATCTTTTTTATGCATGCAGGAAATCGACAAAGGAATTTTGGTAAAACTATCTATTTCACATTTTGATTCCTGTTATAACATATCAAGAAAGTAAAACATATTCAATTTTTCAAAGTTTTACACAGACATAATGCAACTACTTATTACCATGGGATGTAAATTAATAAGTTTTTCACAAATAATAAATTGTAAATAATTTGCAGCGTTTATTGAGTTGTGAAGTCCACAAACAGAATGGGCTACGGGGAAACCATTTCGTATAATAGCCTCATCTTGAATATCATCGAATCTATCAAAAAACAAAAACTTTATATAAATATATAAAAATATACTCAAATTAATCTTTTCAATTAGTAGAGGGGTTGTATTATTTTTCTTTTGTTTTATTTATGTAAAAATTAGTATAATAGAAAAAGGTGAGGCCAGAAATATAACAGCAGATTGTAACAGCAAAACAATAATTGAAGTAAAAGATCAAGACTTATCTAAAAAAATTTTCAAATTTTTTTTATATGTATAAGTCATTGTTAAAACATGTCATTCCCCCGCAAGAAGAATGATATAAATTTTTTGAATTTTGTATTATGAGTAGATCGTATTTTAAGGGCATCGGCTTTCAAGAAAAGTGATATGTATTAAATTCAAATACTTCCTAAAGAAAAATAATGCAAGAAAAAGTTTTAAAAGTAACATGAAGGGTAACATATAACATCATAACAAAATTAATATCTAGAACATTATTTCTAGAAAATTTGAAAGCAATTTGTGAAAATTGTTTTCTAAACAATTTGTGATTAATTCTAATAAGTTAACTTATAAATAATTTCTGCCACGAGTAATAAATAATAAATTTTATAAAATACACAATGCTCTTTCTCCTCCCCCCTTTACTTTTCTGAACAATTTTATAATAAACTGAAATTTTATATTAAATTAAAGTGACTCTTGTCACTTTCCTTGCGGGAGAACGATATATTAGATGTAACTACAAAAAGAAGAAAATATTCGTAATATATTAAATTCTAGAAGAAAATGTAATTTCCTTTGGAAAGATTGTATCTTATTTCTTATCGCGCGCACATGATTTTAACAAAAATACATAAGTCAGTTACGCTTCACAACAAAAAATAACTTACAGGACGCATGTACTAAAGGCCATTTGGATTATTTCGTCAATCAATTGAAATTTATCGGGTGATACTTTAAACCAGTAATTGAAAATCGACAATAGTTTTCTACATGGGTGCGTATCAAGGCATTGCAGAACGTATTTGATTGGTTCTAAAAGTATCTACATAACAGAAATTAAATAAAACAAATAATAAAACGAAAAGTTAGTAAAATTGAATTATGAAAAAATAAAAGAGATATGAAAAAATAAAAGAGAAGGCGCTGGAACTGACCTTGTCTTCCTGCGGATTACCGCTTGACGAATAGTAAAAAGGGACAACTTCTTTCATGTCTGACATGTTGCACTCTACTATAAATGATACGTAGAAAACTGTAATTTTGATAAATTTAAACCAAATGGTAAACGAGTTGGTAATATTATTTAATTCCTTGCCTTATAATATTGAGTAATGCTCGAATTACATATCAAACGCGTTAAATACGAGCAAAAGTGGGATCCCAGACAACACGGAGTCGACAAAAAATCGACTATAAGTTGACTGGAGAAGTTAAGAATAGACTTTTTAGTCAAATCTAAATGTCAACTAATCCTCAAAGAGATTGTATATACGTATAAAGTAGGGGAGCCATCTAAGAATGCGTGAGCGAATAGAAAGAAACAGAGAACGAGATGGTTAGAATGAGTATAAAGAGAATGCCAATTAACCGGAAGTCGCCATTTGGTGGTTTACATCTGGGGTATCTATATAACGCATCCTGATCTTAATCTCTTCATTCTTTAACGTTGCCTTCTTCTAACTAACGGTAAGGACACCTTATGAAGTATCCTTTCCAGTTCTTTGATTTATAAGGAGTCTTGATTAATTCGATTTGTTATATGGATTTTTTAAAAAATTTGTGAAGTTCCATAGAATCAATTAAAACTTGCGTACAAAAAATGGGATTTACAGCTTTTGAAAGAGTAAATTTTTACCTTTAATTTGTTTCTTTATAGATTTCTGTACGATTTTTTTTTCACCGAATTATTCAACGTTGAAGCAAAAACGATCCTTATTGCTTCAATGTTGAATAACTTGGTGAAAAAAAATTGTTCACAATTGTTCTATAAAATGCAGATTGAAATCGACTATAAATACCGACTTAAGAGTGTATTATAGAAAAACAAATCAAAAATAGACTAAAAAACGGGTAATAATTAAGATAATACGCGTAATTAGTTAGATTATTATATATAATCATAAGTGTTTATAATTCAAAGTATTTGTAGTGTATGAAGATGTGGAGCAAATTCAAAAAAAAAAAAAAAACATTTAACATTACAATTTAGCTGTGTGTCCTTATGAGAAAAGATATTTACGTACTTATCTGTGTGTCGAAAGAATACGTACTGTACGAAGCTCGAGATTGCTGTGTAGAATCCAACTTTTGTATAGACACTATTCTTTTTATATAACTGTAATAAGAGAATATTTTAGAAGTTACTGCTGAAGACCTCCAAAATTAGAGTTGGAACGTGTAGCAAGGAAAATATAAATTACGGCAGCTCTTACAGATTTCTTCTCTGATGTACTAGCAGAAATAGAATAAGTAATATATGCTAGAGCGAAGAGTCCAGATTCTTATATAGTGCATAACATATAAGGCGTAAATAAATCGAAACGCGATAAAAAAATCAACTAATCAAAGTTCTCTATTGTATGGAAAGAAAGGAAATAAAAAACTTTGGTTCATTTTCTTATGCATTATGCGTTTCACGAGAGTATGTACTCCTCGCTTAAATCTGTGGCCTTATGTATGACTATCTCGTCGTTACGACGTAAATAACACGTAAAAAATTAAATTTAATGACTAAATTTGATTAGCAGATAAACGATATTTGTCTTTTTTTTATGAATAATAATTTTCTTTATTTATTCATATATGTATTCATGTATACAAAATATATGCACGCGCGAGTAAATAAAAAATTCACCAAGAATAAAGAAAGTATTGAATACCAGGATTGTGCATTTACGCATAAATTATAATATTCTACGTTTACGTGTAGACAACGTAATTGTATAAGCTCAGATAACAAAAAGTATGTAAAATCGGGGTAATAAGACGTTTTCTGTGTCTAAAAGACAACTTAAAAACGTCTTATATCACAATTTTAGACTTTGTGTTGTTTGGAAGGTGTCATTTATGTAGACAATTGCTCAATACGGCGCACAAGTCGCATCAACACATCACCAAGCAGCGGAAATTTGCGTCTATCAAAATATATCTTTTTTTTTGTAATAACCCGGGAAAAAATGTTATATATATGTTACATATTGTACATATATAATTTTATATAAAATATGTCAATTTTACATATAATTATATATAATTTTATATAATTATATATAGAGTAACTCCGGCAAATACGGCGCGCTGGGATTTACGCCGCAGAAGTCAGAAAAAATAGAAGGAATAAGGATAGTTTTCCCGCAATTACTCTGTTAATTGCCTTTATGTTATATTACACGCATTCTACAATAAATCATTAGTCATAAATCAGAAGTTAGAAGCTGGAAATTGATCAATCACAGTCGACAATTTTCAACTTCTAACTTCTGCCTTATGACTAATGGCTTATTGTAGAATGGCCATTAGTATTGTGTTATAATTTTAGCTTCTTACTGTTAATATTAATGCAATAAACTCATTATATGAAATATGTACCTCATGTCAAAACACTTGTAATATATGTAGGAAGATTGTAATTATTATTTATTACATCATATATATATTCATCATTCTTATTTCTTAATAAAACTTTATAAACACATTTTATAAGTTATTGTGTCATTATACGTCTTATGCATTATTTGTAAATTTTTTATGAGCCGTACATACTCCCTCCCCCCTCCGCCTATGAGTATCCCACTCTTATGGAATATACAGCAAAAATGCAAGAGTTTCAAAAAGTTTATTTTTTAATATGGAAAATAAATATTTCGGATTTCTAATATTTTTTTCATAGTAGTAGACAGCTCAGCAAACGAGAATAGATTGGAATAGATTCAGATTTTCAGAAATACAGATTCATGAATGTTAAAATAAATCCTTTTCAATACTGAATGCATTTTTATTCATTTATAGGAATTGCATGAAACAAATGTCTATTCCTTTTCAATCTTTAATATATTTTTATTCATTTGTAGGAATGGCATGGAGTATATTTCTATTGCTTTTCAATCTAAAAATAATATTTTTATGTGCATCGTAAATATTGCTTAATTTAAAATTCTGAATAGAAAATGCAGTTTTTCATCCAGTTGAATATAAAAATAATATCAGTCATTTTCATGCATTGTGAATACTGCTACATTCAAAATTTTGAATAGGAAATGCAGTTTTTTAATCCAGTTGAATTAAAAAAGTTTATCTTTTAATGGCCCATTTTCTTAAAATGAGCTATGAATACTATTTAATTCAAAATTGTGAATAGGAAATCCATTGTATCAGTTAAAAATGCATCATGAATGCTATTTTATTCAGAATTATAAATAAGAAATTTTTCGTTTTAATTTAACTGTGTTAAAAAAAAGTAAAAGTCTATAATGAAATCTACTTCATTTAATACTTAAGAGAGACATAAAAAGAACTATGTAAATATGTGCAATAAATGTTACATATGTAAATTCCTTATTTTTAATAATTTAATAAATTAATCGCTTTTATGTATATTTTATATTAATACATTTCCTTTATTGTATAATTAGCGTAATTTTTTATATAAAAGTTTTAAAATAATAATTATTGAATTTTATGTATTACTACTTTAATTTATTTAAACTTTTACATGTATAAAAATTTTGTATATCCAATCTATTTTTATGGACTTAAAATACGGATTTGGATGTGTGTGTGTGTGTGTGGATTGGAAAATTTCCAATTCATTTCAATCCATTTTCATTTGCTGGGATGTTAGTGATGCATTTTACAATATAGTCTACATAATCTACATAGTTCATATTGTTCACGTGACAAAAAATTATGTAAACATCATGTAGATTTCATGTAAATAATACATATAGACGTAATTTTAAAATCTATAGCACAACCCTGTTAAATAGGGTTTTCAATAGATATGAGATTGCATATTGATAAATTAAAATATGGTTGTATATACTTTTTTTTAGAGGAGAAGGTACCGTTATGGCCTCTTATTTATATTTTGTATGTTAATATTATTAATAATTAATATTAAAATTTAAAATTTAACGATTACATTCGTTGAAATGTTATTCATTAATCAATTTCAGATTCAAAATTATGAAAGAAATACTTATGAATTATTATACTTAAAACATTACTTATAAAAATGTGAATAAAAATGACGCTAATGTATAATACATATATTGAAGAAGGAATAGATGTAATAATGTGATCGCTACTAAATTTAAAGGTTTAAAACCGGTTTTGTTTAAAAAAACACAGTATTTATAGGTTAAAAAATTATATATTTGCAAATAAAAATAAAATGTTGCTGAACTTATGCAAACGTATAGGTACATGTACATAAACTACAACTTCTTTTACTATACTTTTTTTTATTATTGTTTAACTTTACATAACTCGAAATGTGTACAGCTAAATAAAATGTTAATTAATTAAAAAATAACAACTCATATTCTGTATAAGTGTTCTTAAATCTTTTATAGAAATTCATTTTTATTTGTAGTGCACAGATATCCAATAAAATTTTAGAAATATTAATTTTTATCAGTTATTAAAAAATTTTATTATATATTTTTTGTATACTTTTATATATATTGGCTCGTATTTAGAACGCGCTTTTATTTCTGAAATTCTATAATATGTATAATATAAAGTATAGTACGTTAGCACGCTAACATTGTTGTAAGCGCGTTTTGAATACGGGCCATTATATTTTCTTATATAATTTATACATAATATATCATATTATTATCATTCCTTTGCCACTTGCATCATTACACCTATTTTATATAATTGGATTTAAAAAATCTATATAATACTATTTTTTGCCGTTTTACAAAAAATAAGTAATCTTAAATTTAAAACGTTCCAGTTAAAGGATCCTTAGGCGCATCTTGGGTATCCCAATTCTTAAGTTCGTCCAGAATCTTCACCAGAAGCGGGTTACCACCTAACCGTTCAATTTCAGCCCTCGCAGTCGAATCCAATTCTTCAAGTACATTTCTCGTGTATTTAAAGGAACCAAATCTCTCTAATAATTTAATACAATGACGTTTCACTTCGATATCCTTTGTCCGTTGTCGTACGATATCTTTATTAAACATTATTAAAGAAATATATAAATCTAATAAATTATAATAAAAACTTTCACACTTGAAGTATATGGAACAATTAGTAAAAAAAAGTTTATTAATTGTATAACGAATATTATACTTTTTACTAAATAAAAATAATATTTGATAAAGGATACTTATTATTTGTCTATCATCAGGATTGCTTCTAAGGGCATGAATAATCGGAAAGCTGAATTTTCCTTCAGTTAAATCTTCACAATAACTTTTATTCTCAGTGTACTGTAACAAAAATAAATGTAATATAAATTTATTTCATTAAATCGAATATATTATCGCTTACCTCACCGAGGCATAAGTTGCAATAATCGTCGCGTATTTGAAAATATAATCCTAAAGTAGCTATTAATGATGAAAAATCTTCTTCATAAGTTGAGAACAGTTTCATCAATCTTACCGCTAAATTGAAGAGTCCTCCAGTTTCTGCAAAATTAATTAATGTTTAAATCCTTTTTTAACATAAATAACTTTTTTCTATATATAAAATAGAGATTGTATAAATATTAGCAATTACTTCTTATTGTCATAGTCTTGTAATCTTCCTCAGTTGGACAGATAAAATTATCCCTCCAAAAAATATCCATTCCCTGACCTCTATGAAGCTCTAATAATTGTTCCATATATACTTGCGTTGCCTGATAATATTATATATATAATATATACTATTATAATTCTTAATTTCTAATTTATTTGTATTTAATATATATATTCAATATGTTATATTAAATATATATATTCAATATTAATTTAAATCATTATTTGTAGTGATGCGTGTCACATGTTTTTTGAGATAACATTGATATAGGTTGCATCTACATTATGTATTAATTTTTTATTTTCAGTTTTACACTTTTAATAAATCAAAATTAATCATATAATGAAAAAAGAAAGAAAAAAAAGAAAGATAAACAGATAAAAGAAACTACATTGTAATAGCAGTCATGGCCATACACACAATGTACTGTATTTATTTAACATATTAATATGATACTTAGTTAATTTTCTAAAAATAAATTTTCTATATCATTATTTATTAAAATTATTTATAATTATTTTAA